GAACAAATGAACAGCTTTAATGCCGCTCAGCTTAGGAAGAGGAGAAAATAAAATCTACAAATCTGTCCAGTGGACTGCCTTACTGAGATGTGCTGGTGTATAACCTTGGTCTGTGGTCACGCTTCTCCATGGTGTAACGTTTGCAGGTCTGCGTGCAGTACTTGTCAAAACCCATTCTGTCAATAGCTTATCAATACAGAAGTAGGGGAGCCACAGGAATGGCACTCCTGCTCTGTGAGAATTTCTCAGGTAGTCTTTGACTTGGATATTAGCCCCTCTGCCTCTGCTTGCCCTTGGGGGGCTGTATCTCGTATGCTTTCAACTCCAAACGGAAGCAATAAGGTGGGATGGACATACAGCTGCTGCCAGGAGAACAAGTCTCAGATGGAGCTGTTCTGAACTTTCCCTTCCTCTTTAGATTGCATTTCCCATAAGAAAAAAATTCTAAGGGGTACTCTTACGTTTCTGCTAAGGAACAAGGACTTGGAGGCGTTTAACCCATTGCAACCAATCTTTAAAAACTGATACAACCAATCAACAGTTGTGTGATAAGCCTTTTCACGGCATGGCAAGTTCTCTTAAAGTAAGTAGAGTTCCATTTTAATATTTGTACTTTTATTCAGATTAATTGTATTCTGTTTGAAATTGCCTGGTTCTATTAAGCTGCAGTCAAAACAGGCTAGTTCTGGAGTGAAGAAAATTATTTGGCTTTATATTGGCAGGGCTGTTCTGGGTTTCTTTCAGTGATCTGTCTTGGCTCTATCTGCCTTCCTTGATCTATAACTCATTGAATTAACAGTGCTAGACCTCATTCTTTTGTAGTCTTGGGGGGGAAAATAAAGCAAATCTTTGGGCCTGTTCTTGTATGTGAAGTTTTTCTACTTACAAGGATTTCCCTCTGAGATATAGTTCAGCCATCCTACAACCCCAGCTAGATTTTTTTTTCCTACCTCTAAAGTTTGTATTGCTTAAAATTCACTAATAATTGAAACTGTCAGGGCCTCAAAAAGTTAGGAAACTGACTTCAAGAATCCTATCCAAACCATGAATTTAACATGTTCCTGTTTTTGTTTGGGTTCTCAGGCTTTGCATTTGCAGGTATACCTGCTAACATAAGGGGAAGAAATTATTCAAAACCTAAACATTTTACTTATTAATATAGAAGCAAGAGCTTTAAAAGTATGTCAGACTGAGTGTAATAAAACTGAGAACAACAGTGGTTAAACCTATCACATTAAAAAACAAATGCAGAAATGCCTATTTAAAACTTCTTTTATTTTCCTTTTTCCATTAATTTGGATGCTTCGCATTCTGAAGTTGTAATGTTAATTTCACACACACATGTTCCTGAAAAAATAAACTTAAAGCCTCTTGGTATACTGTCTGTCTCTGTATTGGAAAAAAAAACCACTTCAGACACAGCTGTGTTGGACACCAACTGGCTCTGCCATGTTCCCCAGTGAGATGCTGCACTGGGAGGCTGGAACACATATGTGAACAAGAAGTGGCATGTCCAGGATTTTGCGCAAAAGCTTCAGCTGCTTTGATTTCATAAAATATCCACGGTGTTGCCCAACAATTGCTCTCAGATGAAATTCCATTAAGGCAGGAGCTGGGATGTTTATCCAGTGAGCAGAGCTTAACTTTGATGTCACTTCACACACAGGAAAGACACACGAAGAGTTAGATATTTGAAACTAGCATAAACTCTGATTTTTGATCATAATAATAATCAGTGGTGGGAATCACACCACCTTAGAGTGTTCTAAGAAAGAGTCATCTTCACCCATTCTATATGCTGTTGTTTCAACAAATAAACTGGTATCATCTGTTCCATATTCTGTCTCTAAAACTAAACACATCTCTGGTATGACTCAGTAACTGAAAGAATTCTGTGTTTTTTTCAAATTGTTCTACAGTTGAGACTCATGGAGAATATATTAATGTAAAACAGGGAAAGTAAGAAAAACCTAGTACTGTGATTAATATACATGCATTTGAGGAGCTGTGTCAAAGTGGTGCTGTTTTTGGGGAGCTTATCCTCCTAGTGTAGGGGACAGAATCCCACAAATCCCTGTCAGCATCAAAAGCTCTGTCAGAAACTAGCCAGCATCTTCCTAAAATGTTGCTCAGTTGTCATTTTTACAGATGCAAAGTCAGAAAAATGTTTGTTCACCTGTAAAGGAGGTGACATTTAAACATTTATGTTGGTATACATACATAGCATTATACCAAAGAAGTTCAAATGAAATCGAGGGCAGGTGACCTTTACAACTGATTTTCCAAACACCGTTAAAACAATTTCAAGCAACTTCTTGCTATACTAAGTTGGCTTTTGTGGGGGTCTTAAAAACATCCTATACTGAGATAGCTGTAAGTATCCTCCTTACATAAAAATAGACAGACTGTGAGTAAGACATGCCCGTTTTGAGTAAGTACGTGGCATGGATTTAATTGCCACGTTGCTCCATGTGTTTCAGCTGTGCAGGAGCATGAATTATAATTCTGTGTGGACTGAAATACAGCAAAGTCCCTGTGGCATCCTTGTGCCTGTTTGCTGTGGCCCAGCAAACACCACCCAGCTTCTTGTACTGAATTAAGTCTCTAAACATGCTATGAAATAAAATATTATCTTCTTTGCAAGATAAATCACTCGTAATAGCCATTGGCCTTTACCTTTTCAAAAAGGTGTCTTTACGTGTAAATTTAGCTTTCTACCATGCACAGTATTGCCATGGCAACAAATGCAAGAAAAATAAATATACAAGATAAACAGCGTTTTTTTCTCTTAAACCTATTCTGTATGAAACAAAATATGCAGCTGTGGAATTAATGTAGACACTACCTTGGACGGTAAAAAAAGAGTATCAGTCTTTTCCTGGAACGGTTATCTGAGATAGTATCAAACACACAATTGCTTTCAGTCAAGAAATCCTGAGTATTCTTAGTTAATATGCTATAAACTAGAGCCCTCATCTTGCAGTTTGCTCTAGATGGTCTGGAATGCTACGAACCTCAGCGGAGTGCTATGCAGGCATCAGGATCTACCTCTGCATGGGGGTTTACAGAATTAGAATCTAAAATGTAATGTCTCCCAAGTAATTTATATTTTGAATGCTTTGTTTGGTGAGTTTGCATTGTACAATCTGCCATAGAAGAGGTTTGTTAGTCAGGGGGCATATAAGTAGTGGTTCAGATTTTTGCTTTCATTGAATGTAATGAAGAAAGCATTCACGTTAGGCCTGTTTCAACAAAAAGATTGATGAGTGGTGTACTTTAAATTGCCCACAAATTCCTCTCTCTTTTTTGCATCGGTTACCCCCTACAGAGGTCAAGGTAAGGAGAGACCCAAAATGGCATATATCATTATTTTCAAAACCCAAATCCCTGCCTGGTTAAAATAAAGTTTCTTTTTATATTATTGTATACTCCCCTATTTCAGTTTTCAAATTTCACAGTATACGGCTAGAGGAACAGTTTTCAAACACTGTCATGGTTGAAATGTTCCATGTTTGTTTATTTACCCTCTTTTTTCTTCTCTAAGTCACTTTTAGCCTCTTGATTGTACATGCTTGTGTTTAAGGCTGCAGAGGAGTGAAGATGCCTGTGGCTGAGTTTTACTTGTTAGAAGAGGTGAGGAATTCTGGTGCTTGCCTGTGGAACAGAAACCATCCTGCGCTCTCTCATCTGAGTAAGAAAATAGCTTACTAAGAGTAAGCCATTTCTTCTCACTGTATGGCAGGCAGGAAAATGAGCTATTACTCTCACTTAAAGATATGTTGAAGAACTAATTTCTGGTAGAGTGTGGTGCTGACCTTGGCATGTCATTCGCCGTGAGAGTCGGCAGGAACAATGCTGAAAACAGTAATCTCTTTCTCTACCCAAACTGTTCAGTGGCACATTCAGCAGCATCGGCATCTATCGCTTCGGGTATCGCTTTTATGTTTCTTGGTATCAGAAGAGTAAAGTTGAATGTTTCCAGCGATGGCGTGGGCAGAACTTTCTACAGTCTCTTCTGATGAAAGACAAAGCAGTCTGCTTCAGCACACAGTTCTGTGTGTAAAGCTGGCATGCAGAGGTGGATTACCTAAGGTATCGGGGAGTAGTCAGCTGCTGCATGTCTCAACCTGCCAGACCATGAGCTTGTCAAGAGTACATGGGCTGGGTCATGCTGGTGACTGTCTTACCCAGTGTCCTGCCTTGGGCAGTGGCTGATAACAAGTTGTTTAGGGAAGGAAAAAAGGTTACAGGGCACACAGGCACTAATTTTTCCCACGCATATCCTTCCACCCTCCTGGTCACCTGAAGTTTTGGATCAACTGCACGTAGCAGCCCGTCTGGGCCATGTAAGGATGTGTCCTTAGACAGCCTTTGGCGTGAGGGCTCGTAAATAAGCACGGAGGCACCTCCTGAAGTTCTGGACCCTTATGTCCACGCTCCAGCACGCACAAGGGCTGTTGCACACTGTCCCACCGCCAGCGAGCAACCTCGGGGTCAGCAAGGGCAGCCTCAGGTTCCCTGAATGTGTGAAATGAATGTTTTGATCGGTCCTGTAACACATAGGATGTAAGCATGTAGGGAACACAAGGAAAAGGCAAGGGGTGAGCATCCCCGCCTGCCTTCCTTGACGGAGTTGGTCGCTGTGTTTTGAAGGGAAGAAATGAGATGGGGAGAAAGGGTGCTGTATTGTGTTTTTGTGTGGGTTTTTTTTTTTTTTTTTGGTTTTGTTTTAATTAATTATATCCGTTCCTATGTCCCGCAGTGAAGGCTGGCTTCGTGGGTCACTCCGACCAAGGCCGGCGGAGGCCCAGCCCCGCCGCGCTGGCCCGGGGCGATGAGGCGGCAGCGGCGGGCAGGAGGCGCGGGGGGGCGGGCGCTGGCCCGGGGCCCGGCCGGCCCTGCCTCGGGGGGACGGGAACCGCCTCCCCGGCCGCTCCCGCTCCCGGCCCCCCGCCGCCGCCAGGGCGCATGCGCGCCGCCGCCGGGCCAATGAGGGCGGGCGGAGGCGGTGCCGCGGCCATTCCGGCCCGGCTGGCTGAGGGGACGCGCCGCCGCCGCCGCCGCCGCGATGGTCTCCTGGATGATTTCGCGGGCTGTCGTGTGAGTGCCGGGCGGGGGAACAGCGGGCGGCCCCGGCCCTCGCGGGGCGGCGAACGGCTCGTTGCTTGGGGCGGAGGCGGTTCCGGGGTTTCCCCCGGCGGGGCTGGGCTGGTGGCTGCGGGAGGGAGATTCACACCCTTTCCTCCTTCCTTCTTCATTTTTCTCTCTCTTTCCCCCGGTGGGGCGGCTGGCCTGGCCGCTGCCGGCGCAGGGGGCGGCTGCCTGGGCCGGAGCGCCGCGGTGCTTCACCAGCCGGCGGTTTGGAAGTTCTGCCTTACGACAAATCGCCTCGCTTTTAGGAATTTAATTAGTTCAGGGCGCTTCTTCCCCGCCGCCCCCACCCCCCCCACCCCCCCCCCCACCCCTCCGCCGAAAGGAATGAGGTAGCAGGAGCTAGGCCGTTGCCCAGGAGGGACATTCGTCTCCCCGGTGCCTTGGGGGGTCCTTGTCCGCCCAGAAGCGCCCCCCAAACCAGCCCCGGGCTCCCGGTGAGCACCGGTTGTTTCCCCTGGACTCACCGTGGGCTTCTCGCCCAAAGTGCGTGTTTCTGAAGGCTGTAGAGCCAAGAAGCTCAGACCGCAGGTGCCTGTCACGCGTAAATTGCAAGCGCGGCTTGTAAATTGATCCAAATTAACCTGTAAAATCTGTTTGGTAACTGTTCTCCTTTTTAACTTGTAGCAGAGCTGAAAGAGCTAGGAGAACGCTTGTGAGGGTGAAATGGGGGTCTGTGGTGTGTGTAGGTTATCAGCTGATGGAGAGGTGGACTGGCAGTGTTACTGTGTATTGTCCTTTGTAAATCTGTGGTTTTGGCAACCAAAGGGGAACATTTGCTGAGGTGAAAAGTACCGTCTTAGATACTGTCCAAGTTCTTTTTGAGAAAAAATAAAGTCCAGTGCAACGTCTGGTCTTTTTCTTGGGCAGTGTATTGTTGCTTCATGGAACTGATGGGTTATTTTTCTCCTTTGCATAATATTCTCTAATGAATGTGGGGTAGTATTTGAGCAGCTGAGTCTTCCTCGTGCGTCTTGCTGTGGCTGTGGAGGCCCCAGTGCTTATGGAGTCGCTTGAACTGAGATTTGCTGTGTGCGACTTTTTGCCAGGCAAATGAAGTGAATCTGCTCACAAAGCAGTCCAACAGACATCTGAGTTAGTGCAAGGGATGTAGCAGGAGTGTATGACCCAAAGCAGGGTGTACTGGGATTTCCCTGTTTTGGTGGTGACAAACATGTCCCTTAAGTTGTCTGGTGTAATCTCATCTGAAAACTTGGTTGTCAGGAATCCTTCTTATACTGCCACGTATATTTTCCTCCTGCGATCCAGTCACCTAGATAAGTAGCAGTTGTTCTCCCTTTCCCTGCCCACCCTGAGACATGTCAGATAATTGGAACTTGAAAAGTAGAGCATGGTGTTCCAGGGTTGGCAAAGGACGACATTGGTTTGGAAGAGAGAGGCTGTGGGAAGAACTGCTAACTCATGCACTTTGTCAGTGTGATCTTCCCATGGGCAATACACAGCGGTAGGAGCAAGAGACATACACTTACTTTATGTACACCAGGTGTAGCTGCTGAACCTGTTTCTACTTTGTTATATAAAAGCAATGAGAAAATTTTTATTTTAACAACTTAGGCTGCGTTGGTTATAGGGCTAATATCAGCAATGCCGAGTACCTCAATTTCTAAAGACCAGATTCTTGTGCAGTTACTTGTTTGCTCCCTGAAAGGAATTGCTAAGGGTTGTATTTGCATTTTAAGGATCAGGTCCTTTATAGGCCTAACCAATAGCACAGGGCATGAAGAGAATAGCTACTGCTACCCACAGATTAATTGCAAGAGGCAATAAAGGGCAATGTATTGTGCAGTTCTGTGTAGTTTGGTTTCCTGTTTGCCATTGGTCACTCATTTGTGTGCCCTAATTATTTTTGCTAAAAAGGGAGTCCTTAATGTTATTTATAAATCTTCTCTATCTTTTTGTGTCCTTGTTTCCTAGCTGTGAGACTTTAACTAGTTTGCCAGTGTTCAGCTTTCCAGGAAGGGAGAAGTGTTTGATGACAACTTGGGCAGCTTCGAGACTATTGTTTAACTTGGCTTAATAGAGCAAAACTCCCATGGAAAAGGAAGGTGGGAAGTAGCACAGAGCTAGGTGTGGTGTGACATAAGAGGTCTTAACTGTAATGGTCTTGAGACTGTCCTCCTTGTCCTTTTCTCAGTGTCCATTATGCTGCCTTCCTCTATTTGGTCTGTTTTCCTTCCTGATCTCTTTCCAGACATACCTGTTCCAGTGCCTTTGTTCCTCTGACTTGTGTGTCATGACTTTGGAAGGTATATACTACCTTTTTCTTAAACAGCATAAGAAAGATGGAAATATTTTTAACGACTACGTAGCTGAGGTTCTCTCTTATGTATGTAACGTATTAATTTTGGGGTGGTGATGTTCTGTTGTGAGTGATGGATATCCTATGCTGTCTGTAACAAGTCCAGGGAGCCTTGTGGGCAGCTGTCAGGTATACCTGTTGTCTTGACTGGTGACTGGAAAGAGCAGCAGTTGTTTAGGCTACAGCAGAATCCTTCTGATTGACTACTATTTTTTAGGGCCAAAAGAGCAGCAAAATACTAATTTGTAGGTGTGTCACAGTGCCCTCTGCTGACTTCTGAAGTGGAGGACTTGTTCTGACATGCATGTTCCAAGCCAAACTGACTTCTGATTCAGTTTGAGAGTTTGCAATTTGGGGTTAATCAACTCTGCTTAAAATAGTTTGGTTAAAGCATTAAGGAACTAGGGAATGGAGCTTGTAGAGAATTAGAATTCATAATTGCATGTGAATTGTCTCAGAGTCATGCACAGGAAACAGGGAGTGGTTCAAATTTGCTACTCCACATAATAATCTTTGGCAAAAGTTCATTTTAATGAAATATTTTCCCTTTGCTCTATAAATGCAATTATACTTAGACATCTAAACATGTGAAATAGCTTGTACTAATTGCATGTCGTCTTTAAGTTAAGAAGCAGAAGACTTGAAGCACAAAATTAAAACATTTAATTTCGAAGTTTTGTGTCTAGGTGGTGCTTCTGTAGTAAGTATAGGTCGTTGTTAATTCTAAAACACACTGGCTATTGCAACAGTTTTCAGAATGGTTACTGCAGGGTTTTTCCTTTCTTTCACTTCCAAAACCAACGAGACAGTAATTTCTTTCAGAGTTCCGGAAAACTTCTCAGTGTGGTATATCTTGTCAAGTTCTTAGTCTTTAATGGTGGGAATAGCTTTTTAAATTTGTGGCTGCCCATCTTGTTAACTTCTGATAGAGCCTGTGCCTGACTTCTAGCCTGCTTTGATTGCTCATTCTTCTCATTTGTAAGGTCTGAGCAATTGTGTACACATCAGTTGCTGAGACAGTATTTAATAGTAAACATGCTGAGTACTTGTCAGTCACAGCCTGGTATGGATGAGATCAGACTATCCTCTTGTGCCAAGCAAAGATGTGAAGCATCCTAAATACAAAGTAGATGGCCATTTTGTTCTTGCAATCTGTTAAAGCAGACTGTCTGCTGTAATCTGTTAACTTTTTTCCCCTCCTCACTTAAAAATGAAAGTTCCCCCATCTGTGTTGCTTTGCAACACTCTCTCTACCCTCATGTTTAAGTACATGTTTTGTTTTCTGTAAAGTTGGTCAGCAGTCGTGACTGTTGGAAGGAAGAATTGTAGTGGTTCACAGGAGGATGTATTTGTCTTGGATGCTAGCAGTTACTTTTTTATCTGCTTATACTTACAATGCCTGCCTTCCCCACCACCATTTTAGAGCCTTGCAAGGATGTACAAGTAAAAGATTCAGCAAGCATTCCTTGCCTCGGATATTAAATTGTCAGTGTAACTACATTAAGCTGGGCAAAGTATTAGTTGCTTTCAGCTTTTGATACTTTACAGATTGGATCTGTTGCTTTTGTGGTAGTTTCCCAGGCATTCTATTACTCTAGATTTAATACTTCTATTGTTGTTCAGTATTTCTAGACATCGAGCTGCCCCTGGAATTGCTGGACATCTCAGAAGGGGTGGCTGAAGCCATAGCTTCTGTATTGATTGGTTTATTGTCTGGAGTATCTGGTTTAGCGTGGTAGTGGTATTTTATGTAACTGTGTATACTTTGTTTGTAAACCTGGATTGTGTCTTGCTCTTGGAATACAATTTTTTTTTTAATTAAAAGCACTAAGTACAAAAATATTTACTCTGTTTGCTGATCAGCATACTGTCAAACATTTTGTTTTGAAACAACCATAATTCATGAGATGGAATTAAGTAATGATAGCACCACATGCTCTGTGGAAGGAATAGCTATATACAGCTTACTTTTCAAGTCAGAAGGGCTGTTTGTTTTCTGCAACTGCTTGTAGCCTGCTTTTCTGGCAGGATGGTTCTAGTTGAAGTATGGAGGATGTTGAGTGCTGTTGGATGCCGAATGCCTTCCAGTATCTTTCCAGTTTAAAGGCCTATAAATTGCTGCTGCACCTGTGGGGAAAAAGGAGTTGCTGTCATAATGTGTGTAACCAAGATGGAGAGATATGCTGAAATGTCTGTCTCACCACAGAACTGCTAAGACTCAGTCACCATGTATCAGTTATCCTTGGCACTTCATGGGATGCTTTAACAGATCTCACTGGCCTGTTGCTGGGAGGGGCCACCCTGCCCTTCAGCCTCTCCTTATTTTCCACAGGGTCCGAGAGTTTTGTGGCCACAGGGTGGGTCTGGTTGTTTTGTCAACCCAACTGAAAAGTAGCATGCTTGAAAGAGGTCAGTCTTTTGTTAGTTGGAGTGAATTGTGCCAGCTCACGCTGCAGTTGTGTAGTTGCTAGGTAAGTGCCATGCTGAGAATGAAAAGCTGCAGATCAAAACCAGCATTGTTTTTGGCATCAACATACTATCAGACTTGTTAAAGCGTACTCTGGAACTACGTTCTTCACTTGCACATGGCTGCTTATTTTTTCTCGCAGTGAAAATGGTTCCAGTAATA